TATATATATATATATATTGTAAAAACTAATCATTTACCTGTTGCAAACAAGAACCCACCAATCATAGCAATTGGATTAAAAGCAGGAAAGCCACGGACAGAATTGATGGTAAAACCAACAAAGAACACAACTGCACACTGAATCCACTGCACGTAAAATCCTATAACTTTCGCAGACTTAACATTTCATTTATAATGATTAATTCATAATATGGTAGTACTCAAAGAAAAATGATTCATATCTTTTGATATTGTTTGAAAGTTTGTCCATTTTAATTTTTTGTCAAGTGAAAAAAAAATCGAATTAAATAAGCAAATTCGTAAGATTTTAAAACGATAGACAGAATTCGTAAATCAATTGTTCATACTTACCGTCTTTGCAATTTAAGTTACGTAAGGGAGCAAACATAAATCCGAATGCAATACATGAAATGATGCATAAAATAAAACCAGTGATAGCTTCCCCCATTTCGTTCCTGCAAATGAAACTTCCATTCTTATTCCGTTTTTCGCTCACTTAGTTTGATGAAATTCTTGGAAAAGGTATAGGAAAGGGTCTTGAAAATCGATGCATGCAGTGAAAGTGATTTGAAATAGCATAAATTAATTAGTCAGGAGTACTGCACTCAAATGAAAAACCCCGATTTTTTTATCGGCGAGAAATTTATTGGCTCCAGTTGTTTGTTTGCTTGAAAGCAAAATGCTCTTCTGGAATCACGCACATTTACGCTTCCACACCCCATGCCATTCATTCCCAGCAATATTGTGCGATACAATTTGAAAAATAAATCACTGACTTCGTTTGCATGTATTTACTAGTTAAAGTTGATATCGATTGATGACAGGGACAGGGACAAAAATAGTGTTTGATTAGAAAGGCAACTACAATGAATGAAAAAAAATGCTGTAAACAAGTTTTTGAAGGGTTCCGCCTTTTTCCACAATTGCCTGATTTTTGTGACAATACAAAAATCATTTATGCATTAATCATTCACTAATACTTTTCGTCTTCGAAGTTTTATTAAATTCCTGTTTCAAGTGTGAAGGTTCTTTTGATGGCAAATTCAATGCAACAACATGGATATTGTAGTGAACTAAAAAGTGCAAAAACAAGTCTTTTTTAGAATTAGAGTCGTTGAGAACAAAAGTATTTTTTTTCCCAATTATGATCAACCAAATATTATTTGAAATTACAGTTATTACCATTTTTAACAAATCAGGAATCGCCAATATTATTGATTTTCGAGTTTTAAGAAATGTTATTGTAAACCAAATACCATTTAGTTTGGTCCAAAAACATTGGTTGCAAAACTGATTCAGTCATTGGTAAAATAAAGTAAAAAAAGAAAAGAAAACTGACTTAATAATTAATAATTCAATCAAATTTGATTTACTTTAATGTGTTCTGCAATACTTTCGACAGCGACGGAGTAATCGTCATTTTTAAAGTAAAATAAATTACAATAGACAGTGAGAACCACCCCATATTAATCAAAACAATTGATTTGTTTTCAATTTTTTTATCAAGCAGAGCAGATTTTTAAAATTTACTGACCTACAGTGCACGAAATCTCTGACAATAGATGCAGAATGGAAATACAAGAGCAAATTATTGACAATTGAATGCACTTCAAAAAATAATTCATGATAAAAATGCGAATTAAAATGGTGAAAGTGACGTGCAGAAGGAAATTTGACGAACAGCAAAATTGTGGGAAAAAAATGTTGCAATACAGCAGGTCATTAATATGTTTAAACAGATAAAAGAACTGATCATTAATCGTACTAAATGAAATCAGTTTTCAGTCAGAGGACAAATAATAATCCATCATTTGATGAAAAATCTGAAGCCGATAAAAGTGAAACTATTATTATTGGGGTATCAACGTTAATGAATTTAATCAGTTACTAAAGGGTTCTTTAACGTTTCCAAGTATTTTAATGATGCAGTTATATTTCAGTCTCAAGAAGTACGAGGCTTGTTGCTCCGCGACAACGCCATGTGGAAGATTTGATCTTTTTGTGCAGCATGTTTTTTTGCATAACTTTTGGTAGAAAAAATATGCATTGGATTATTGAATTTTGTATAAATGGTTAATTTGCATTTCTCATATTTTGTAGTCTGGAAATATTGTTAACTGAATATTTGAAAGCTAATGTTCAGTCTTTCGCCTACGTAAAATTACAGTGCTGTAGACAAGTTGGTGTTGCTGAAAAATGAGGTGAATTCAAGTTTATTTGATTTCTAGTGTTTGGAGTTATGAGTTATTCCTTATTCAGTTGTGAGTTAAGTTATGAATCAGAAAGGATTTATTTTCTGTTCCGTATTTGAAACAGAACGAGTTTCCATATCTGGGAATATCGATTTGTTTTTTTTAATTTCAGCTATCTTACGAATTGTACCTATTTCAATATCGATTTCAGCTTTTTAGTCATTCATGCTTTCCCTATACACTTTTTGCAAAAATTATTTTTTCAATGAAATGCTTTTCGCAGTATAAATTTCAAGATATTGCTCACATTCCAAAAAATCATAGTAACCAACATTTCAGTGAAATGCAGCATACATTTGCAATATTTAAGGTTTGCAGTTCATTTTCTCAAATTAATTTCTTTACGTGATCGATATATTGTTGGTTTACTACTGCTGATGGTCTTGATTTTGTGTGTAATAAAAATTCAACAAGATTCAAAACTAAACGATTTTCATAAAAGGTTTGGTTAACACTTTTATATAACTCTCAAAAGTAATTGTTAATATGGGAGGTCATCCAGTGAAATATTTCTGAAACTTTTAATATTTTCAGAAATTTTAAGTAATTCCTGGAACTTCTGTTACTTTTATTAAATTTTCCTGATTTTTCAGAATATAAATGATTAATCAAATTTTCAAGTTCCTTGAAGCTTATGTACTTATATAAACAAATTAGTTTGATTATAGCAATTTCATAGAAAAATTCTAGATATATAGAAACAGCACGTGGAATATTCTCTTATGAAAGACTATTGAGAGAGGTTTATCGTCCTCTTGGTTTTACTATTGTTAATTTTGATTATGTTATACCTGAACTGTATCCGATACAACCATGGAAATGTGATGAAGTAAGGCATTAAAATATTTCATCAATATTCTTCTGTATCTCACGTTTAATTCTTTCATTACTTAAAACAGATAGTCGTGAACTTTTTCAAAAGGGTTTTGAAATCTACATTTCGAATTAATTATATGGAGAAACTTTTTTATTCATCTGAAAATTTCTTTGCTCTGGACTTTTTATGGAACTATAATTAACCTACATAAATTTAATATGAAATTGAGCAGTAGTTTTTGAACTTAAGGTATTTGCAACAGTACTATGGATGCGACCACCAAAAGGTAACAAAAGTGAGATCCCATTGAGACTAAAAATGAATTATACTTTATTTGGGCATGTGAGACTGAAAAAAAAGTAAGTTGGTAAGGGATTTCAATTTCAATTTATCGCTGATTATTTTCAAAAAATAACCTAATAACATAATCTTTTTAGGTGATTTTTTGACGATAATCAGTGATTGATTGTTGTAGTTACGTTTTTAGGTTATTTTTATTTTTGTTGCTTAACATTGGGTATACATTTGCTTTGAGCTTTGACCAGCAGATCACTGGTCTTGCAAAGCTCAAAGAAAAAAAATTAAACATATATAAAAAATGAAGAAATGGAGATGAATATCGTCGTGCCAAAAACTGAAGCTCATTAATAGCATGTAGACTACAACTATAATAATCAAATATTTTAATTCAATAAAAATGAGGCGATTGTTTTGAATAACTTTTGATCGCAGAAGAAACCATGCTTTTTAGCTGTATTAAGTAGAGAAGAGTGTAACAGAGCTCGGAAAGACTAATTTTTGAGTGAAAAAAATAAAAGATTGATGCGGAATGTCATTAGATGCGATGTTTGTATGATAGAAATTATTTTAAGGTAGTCACATACTTTAATATGCATCTGAAAAAAAATGAAAATTTCTTCTTACAATAAGTTGCAATTTTAGAACAAAATATATCGTCCTTCATTCCAGAGTACAATTTTCAACTTTAATCTGTCTCTTTCATTTTCCACGTCTGATTTCATTTTAACTTTATCACAGAATATCGAATGCAAACACTTTGCCGACAGCAATAGGAAAAGAAGGAGAATTGCCTGTACAAAAAATTGAAAAAATCAAAAAGAGTTTGTAATTTTATTTTAATGTTTCTTTTAAATTAGATAACTGCCTACTAATAAAAAGCCGTAATTGCGGAGATCTCCCAGAACAATATAATTTTATTCATTACATTTTGACTACCAATTTTTAAAATGTCAGCATTTAACTTAAACTATAAATACTTTAGAGTACCTAAATTTTGAAACGCTATTTTTATTTAAAGAACACTAACGCATTCACTTATATTAGAGCAGTCAAACTCAGAGGTTGAAATTTGCAAGTGCATATGTTTATGAAACATAAGAAAAATCATCAGGTTTTTTTTCCGAAAATTCCTTTCATTATAGAAGCACTGAAATAATTTCAGCAAATTATTTCCTTGAAAATTTGTTAAAGTTAGAAAAAAATTAGCCTATATTACTCTAAAAATAAGTTTCAGCTTTGGCAAATGCATTAAAATACGAAAATGTTACTAGTAAAAAAGGTCTCATATTTGGACCACTTCACTCTAAAAGTGATATCAGAAATTTATGGCTTGAAACGATATGCCTCAACCAGGAAGTTTCAGCAGTAATCATTTTCTAGATATATTCATATCTAAAATTTGTCTAGTTCTTCTGATTGTTGGACGTTGATCAAATCGGAATATTATGATTTATGGAAACAACTAAATAAGATTTGCAGGTAGTCAGTGTTCGATCGAAGCATTTGTACAATGAACATCCAAAAATTAACTTTATGCAACCACAAACATTTTATTCTTTTGCAAAAAAGTCAGTTTTGCCTTATTTATTCTAAAGCAATTTCAACTCTTCATCATCTGCTTAGAAAAGGGTGACAACTACAACTCCAACTTAAATAATATGTTTGAAGTTTTCATAATTGTGTTATAAGTTTTAATGTAAATTATTATGAATTAAAATGAACAGAAACTGTATTCGGAATTAAATTATATCCGATAGTAAAAAACAAGATTTTAAGAAATATAAATAAAGTGCTAAATTCTAATGAATAAAAAATCGATTTCTTTGCAAAATATAATTGAATTTCATATTTCGCAACCATTTCGATTTTGCCATAATTTATTCCGCCATTGAATACCTGGGTTTTGAACACTTCAGTGAGTTCACTG